TTGGAGAGTGAATCAGTGGTAGAATGTACAAGGGTTTTTTCCCCTAGAACTAGGAATTGAACTCAGGGTTTTGAGCATACAAAGCATTAACATCAAGCTACATCATCAGTCCTTCGTGTCTGTATGTGTGAGAAATAGGGTGGGAGGAAATGAGAGCAGGGATGTATATGTCTATGTACATATGTGAATATGTACGTGTATACGTGTAAACATAATTATTACTCACATTCAAAACTCTAAATTGCCCATGCTGTCCTTGAACCTAACATTCTTTCTGCCTCTTCCTGCGAAGTAGCTGGAATTATAGGTGTGCACTACTAAAACTGGCTGGGACTGGGTGTACCTTTTTATTACCCACATTCCATTTGATCAGCCTGTTCACGGACTAAGTGAAACCTCACAGAGTATACAGAACTTGGGATCAGAATTGGTGGAGCTCTTGCCTAGTACGTATGAGGCCTTGTGTTTGATCCCTGACACTGAAAATCATACCGAGAAGAATACACATTATTTGTAGAACATAAATTGAAAAAGAGGCCCAGAAATACCCAAGCAAAGTGCAGCCCAAATGTTCCAAGTTTCAGGAAATGGATACCAATCTCTCTGTCTCTGTCTCTGTCTCTGTCTCTGTCTCTGTCTCTCTGTCTGTCTCTCTCTCTCTCTCTCTCTCTCTCTCTCTCTCTCTCTCTCTCATTGTTTCTCTCTCACACTCTCTTTTTCTCTCTTGTGTTCCCTCTCTCACGCCTGCATGCTATTTCTCTGTCTGTGTGTCTATTAATTTCTACCCAATAGGATTTTTCCTGGGCCTACTAATCTCTGGTTCTGAAAATTCTTTTTCAGCAATGGAAGTCAGTGAACCTGCAAACTTATTTTATGAAATTTTGGATTAGGTTATTATTTCTGCTTTAGGGACCTCCTTAGGTCCAGCATGGTGACATTTTTCTTAGCAAGCCAGATAGGAGGTAAAAGGTATCAATAGGGTGACTTCGATAAGTCCAGACAAAGGCATTTCATTTTTTCTTTCTCATTTCGCTGAAGCCTTTACCCTCTGAAATATAATCTTTCTCCCCCTCCTTCTTCTCCCTGCTTGTCCACAAACATGTGCTGCCTTAGTTATTTTTTCCTTTCTGGTACTTAGAAATTCCCAAGTCCTTGGAACTGAGTAGAAGTAGAAATGCTTGTAGAGAAGTCGCTGAAGACAGGAGCCACTTGCTCCCTCTAACCAGGCATGGGGAGAAGTGTCTAGAGGTATTCTCTATGGCCGACAGAGGCCTTGGTAGGTACTTCTTAGGTCCACCCAGCCCCTTCCTAGGGAAGATGGAGTTAAAGTTGGCTCACTAAGGAAACACAAGGAAACATAAGAACTGGTCCATCTAGTATCTTGAGCAAACTTTCTCACACAGCTGGTCAGGGAATTGCAGTCACCAGACACCATGGAGAAGACCAGGCTTCGGGTGTCACCCAAGTGAAGTGATCCCCTTAAATCATATATGGTGCAAAGCATTTTAGATAAAAGATCATCTAAAGTTCTCAAATTCTCTCTCCCTGTCCCTCGATCCCTCTCTCTCCCTCTCTGTCTCTGTCTCTCTCTCTCTGTCTCTCTCCCTCCCTAGATCCAGCCCTTTCTCTTCCCTCCTCCCCTTTACTCTCTCTTGTTCCTTCCCTGTCTCAAAACTAAAGGGCATATGCTCTGTCCACTAGATGCCATGGCTGCCCATTTTGGGTGGCAGGGAAAATCTCCCAGAGACGAGCAAAAAACCTTCCTTAGCCATGTCGATTCAAGTAGTCATTCAGATAATAACTGATATTGACCCAATAATGAATATACAAATTATCAACGATATCCTAGAATGAGCAATCAAGCCAGTAATGCTAAAAATATGTAGTAGAATGAATACAACACATAGGGTAAGAAATTCATCCAAAAGAGGGGGAAAAAGGAAATCAGCAACTAAAAAATAATGCCCGATATGTTGATATCTTTCAGTGATAACGTGCCAATCAAAAAACACCAATTGGCATAATGGGTCAAGAAACAAAGCCCAATAATATGCAAAATATAAGAAACACAAACAATCCAGAATAAACACACAGAAGGAAGACCAAAGGTTAGAAAACAATATTCCATGCAACATGAACATGAAAAATACCAGGAGCAGCTATTCTATTTTCAGACAATGTGAATTTCAAGTCAAAACTGATCCAAAGAGGGAAAGAAAGTCACTACATACTGGCTAAGGGAACAATTCAAAAGCAAGAAATAATTATAAAGATAACACTGGTGTACTCAATTTTTTAAAACAAACACTACTGGGCATAAAAAATCAGATAAACACTAATTACAACAGGGGGCCACAGTACCTCCATGTCACAAATAAATCAACCAGACAAACCAAATCAACAAGGAAATACCAAGTTGAACCAAACCTTTGAAGAAATAGGATAAGTATCTGCATTGTCCTCCCTAAGACAACAGAATGCACATTCCTCACAGCAGCAAGTGGGACCTTCTTGAAAGCAGAACACAAAACAACCAAACACCCATGCCTGAATGGCTTCTTTCCTTTTAAGGGAGGATGAATAGACAAGTCCTTTTCTCTGGCTTTTTATGCCTGCAAGTAAAAATACACCCACTCTCAAACTGTAATGCCTGTGGTCATCAATAGGCACATGTCAGACCACCCAGAACACAGGCTTTATGTGGGCAAAAAGTGGAGTTTATTCTGCGTGCAGACAGGTGAGATCATGAATGATTTCGGCAGCTGACCCAAGGAGAAGCTAGCTAAGTTTTAGTAGAGATTTTGGATGGGGTTCTAATCCAAGGACTCTGGGGTCATTTGGGGTCAAAATCCCCAGGACATTCCATTCAGGTGTGTAGGTAACACTGGACTTTCCAGCACTGGGGGGGATTGTAAGTCCTGCTCTAAATTTTCTTTATGGCAATCTGTTCTGTTTGTTGCAGGCACCATGGGTCTCGAGTGGTTCCTGTTGTGTGTGGAAGGTGACATGGTTTCTGAGAGGGTCTCTCTCAGGTCAGAGGTGACATACCTCATTCCATTGAGTGCCACACCTGTCTGTTGAGCATACCTATGACCTCTGTCTCTTCTAATACACCCTGCTTGTTTCTCTTTCTGACATGTCCTGAAGATTCATTTTCTGTGACAGGAGTCAGCAAGCCTGCTACAGTGGGGTGGGCTGAGTTGGGGAAACTCTCAGACCCAGCCCAGTGACTCTTCCACGTTTCCACATTCTTATAGAAGCTTAGCTCTCCTTCAGAGCACACCAGCGGGAATGTGTTGCTTCTGAGGCTTCACCATCTCACAGCGTCCTCTTTCCATTCAGTGACCGTTACACTCCATGTCAGGGTATAGAGCAGGCTTCCTTTCAGTCTGCTGTCACTTTTTTCCCACCTCTTTCCTCCCACCAACCATTTGTCCTTAAGGCTTGCATCTGCCCAGAGAGCCTATTGTCTGTGAAACAGAGGGTCTTACGTCTGTGCAAAGTTAATTTGTTATTAGCATGTATTTGTAGTATATGAAGTTTATGGGAAGTGTGGAGAAAGGGTCCATGTACATAACTCCGGGGGTTATTTTTTTTAAATCCTCTTGCACATCCCTCCTACCACACTTCCCCCCCTAAATTCTCTTTCCCCATTTTCATTCTTGATGGTATCATTAATCTTGTCTCATGTTGGTATGGTGTTTACATTCATGGAGGTTTTTAGGGTCCTGTACATGGCATATCCTTGTTCTAGTTATTTCTCCTTCTCTTCTTTCTCACCTTCTCTTGGACTTTGTGGCCATCCTTTGTTATGCTTTGGTTTATGTCTTGCCTTACTGAAATGAGAGGAACTATGTAGTATTTAAGGTTGTGTGTTTGGACTGCATGCAACATTATATTTGTAAGAGCCCCATTTGGCTGCAAATATCTCAAATTTTTCCTGTTTTAAAGATGGGTCTTGCATTAGATATAGATACCACCTTTTTTACCCAGTTGTGTGTTGAAGGATATTCAGACTCCTTTCACAATTTAGCTGTTAGGAATTGTGATGCTCTGAGCACTGGTGTGCATGTTTCACTGCACTATGGTGTCTTCAGCTCTTTGGGGAAGAAACCTGGCAAGGAGAGACCTGGGTAACGGGCAATTTTTAATTTAGGTTCTTTGACAAATTTCCACACTGGCTATGCTTCATGTATTGCTTTCTTTTTTCCTCCCATGTGTAAGAATTTCGTTTCCTGTTAAAATTTTGTTCATGCAATTATTTTTATTAATAAGTATAAGAGGTATGTAATTATTGCATACCTGAAAATACCAATGGATAGTCCTCCAGGACTGGGCTATGTCCCTTGAGCATGCATGAGATGACGACAGAACTGAGGCCTGATGTACTCTGCACCCAGCAATAAAAACACACTGACCTGAAAACTACAGGGACAACAGGAAGGAAAATGTCTCCAGGCGAGGACAGCATTGCCCAGGGGGGATGTGTGTGACTATCATTTTATCTTTTATTTTATTTTCACCACAGTGCATTCTGTATCTTATTATAATAAATATTTCTTGTCTGACAACAAATAACTGAATAATTCACTAAATATGGGATGAGAAATTATTGGGATCTATTTAGGATTTTCCTTCCTAGAAAAAGGAAAATTAAACAGTCTCTACCAAGATTCTGTGATCAAATGCAAATCTGATGGCAGCGTTGAAAAAAAACAGTAGATTAGAAAGATAAGGGATAGAAGATGAATGGTGGCCAGGATCTAAAAGCTGCAGGGGAGGGGAGGAAATAGGTTTGGGTGTAGAACTCAGGAAAATGTTCTGGAACAGGATATGTCACAGCAATCACTTTAACAATATTAAACCTTAAATTTTATTTAAATTTTATCATTTACTTACTGCTGGGAAAATAAAGTGGCCAAAAATACAAAAAAAAGGAAATCTCGAAGAGAAATACCAGACCTTCTTGTAGAACTCAAGAGATGTCTTTTGCTTTGCAGCCCCCAGCAGTTCCAGCTCTGCATCTGGTTGGGAAGGAATTCCAGATGCTGCATCTTGCTGTGAGACCAGCACTGCTGAGGAAGCTGCAGGTGGAGCAGGCACAAGTTCTACAGGTAGAAATTCAGCATTGGTGGCAGCAGGGCCTGCAGCTACAAGGAGAGAAAAGATCACCAACCATGCATGTTCCTTCCCAGGGCCAAATCTCCCCACCGACTGCCAAGACAGCCATGTGTACCAACACAGTCCCGGCAAGTCCTCTGAGATTGCATCCCACAGTGACTGCCGAGTGTCTCGATATTCCTGGGTCACTCAGCATTTGGAAGCTTTGCTGTGTTCCAAGGCACACCTCTCCCCATAGGCCCACAGGCCTATACATCTGTCCTCTCACTTTGCATCCCACAGTGACTGCCGAGTGTCTCAATATTCCTGGGTCACTCAGCATTTGGAAGCTTTGCTATGTTCCAAGGCACACCTCTCCCCATAGGCCCACAGGCCTATACATCTGTCCTCTCACTTTGCATCCCACAGTGACTGCCGAGTGTCTCGATATTCCTGGGTCACTCAGCATTTGGAAGCTTTGCTGTGTTCCAAGGCACACCTCTCCCCATAGGCCCACAGGCCTATACATCTGTCCTCCTTACCTTGAGGCTCCACCTTAGGGGGCTCAGGAGGCTTGAGCTGGCCCAGAATTTCAGATGGTTGATCTATCTCAGAGGGAAGATCCACTGAGGAATCAAGAACACAAGGGGTTGACCTGGAGAAGACAGGGAGGTAGCAGAGTGAAAGGCCTGCCTTTCTCCCACACTCTCTGCCCTGTCCAACTGAAGAAGGGAAAAGTTGGCCTGATGACCACTCTGTGCAGTGTCCAGCCCGACCATCTCCCACCCCCAGCAGTGTAACACATTTCCAGGGAGATGGTTGACAGAAGGCTTGCTTAGTGGTGTGACACCTCTGCCCTTTCAGTGAAGCTTGACACTGTGTCTCTCCAGCCTCCCCACTGGCAGGTCACCTTGGTGAAGACAGAGCTTTGTATGTGCTATGTCTTTGCACTCAAGGGCACAGGCCTGCTGCTTCATAAAATATCTGAGAAGGGAGAGGTCAGTCAGAGTCTGTGAGCAGGAGTGAGAGCTCAGTCTCTAGCTCACAGGGCAATGTGTTGCCCAGTTCTCTGTGCCTCTGTAGAGCTCCTCTTGCACTGCTGTACATCCACATCTAGACAGTCAGGAGAGCATTACATCCACTGCAATGGGAGCAATACCTACTGGGTTACCCTGGGTGAACTGATTGCTTTCAGATTCCATTGAATCCCAAAAGGGCAAAGGTTTCTTCTGCTCTGTTTAGGAGCCATGCCTGGAAAAGTGTCTTTCCATAGTGTGCCTTTCCATCTATTGATGGTACCACCAAGCTCTTGCATGCTGTGTGTGTGGGTCTAGGCCCCGGCCATCCCCAGGGGATCCCTGCTCTGGGAACACCCTGACAGCCATAGAGTGACTCTCCAGCCTCTTTTCAAATAATCAGAACAGCTTCCCCCAAGTGCAGGTCAGGGTGACCGGAGGCAAAGCTTCCCAGTGCAGACAGAAGCTTATCCCTGAAAGGAAGCACACAGCAGGTCTTCTTCAGGGCCAAGTCCAGGGTCAACATTTCCCACAAAGATGCGATTTCATCCTCAGTGACCTGGCGATCTTGATCCACTTCACACTCTACTGTTTACAACTGAAGCTGGGAGAGGTACTTGCGCATGGCCAAGCTCCATGGGCTGCTAGAGAGGAACTCACCCTTCCGATATCAAGGCCTCTGAGGTGGAGATGTTGGAGCTTAAGGAATCCAGGAAAGAGAAGCCAAGGCTGGGGCAGCTGTCCAGGAAGGCTGGCTCCAGGAGCTCCATCCCAGTGTGAGGCCCACCTGCCTGCATTGTGCTTATGGGGCAGACCTCTGCCAGGTGCTCTGCAGGCTCAATCTGTAAACAGACAATTGGGAGACATGGAATTGGTGTCCCACTCATAGCTTCTCAGGGAGGTTTGAGGCTGAACCAAAGCCCACACTCCCAATGTTCCACAGAGGCTTATTTAGCTCCTGAGGTACCCCAGCAGTAAAGGGATTCTCATATTAGAAGTTAACTTCATTAGCTGTGGAGAGGTTGTATGTATCTCCATGCATGAAGAACAATCCATGAGTCCAGAGACAGCCTCCCATTGTAGAGATGAGAAAACAGATGCTCATCCTAGTTCGATCAGTCCATTGACAAATTTTCCCCAACTTTTTGATGAAATGTCCCCAGAAAACTGTTACATCTTGCTTCTTGAGCCTTCAAATGTAGAGTGGCTGAGTTTACTGCCACCCTGATACAATATCATTTAGCCAAAGGGAGGCGCCACCCTGTGACCTGCAGTGGCTGTGGAAGTTCCAATAAGCTCTAGAGAATAGGGCAGGGCAGCAAGGATCTGACATTTTAGGTTAGCACATCTTTGTTGATATATAGAGCTAGAGACATTCTGCCAACTGCCGCACAGACCCTGGGCCCAGGAGTTAAATGAGTAGGCAGAATTCAAGCATGACAAGAAAGTAAGTCACTTAGTGTACACATCCCTATTCTGATACTCCCACCTTGCACAGTGACCTTGAACCTGGCCAAAGCAGAGGCAGAGCAGGAGTGTGTGGTGGTTGAAGACAGGGACGGCAGATTGCTTTGGGAGCAAGATCATTGGCCTGCTGTTTCCCAAACCCTGGAGGGAGATGCTGAAGGTGATATCTGGCCCTGAAGGTCTCTGTGTCCTCCACGGGCCTTGTGTTCACACACACACCCTGAGCTTGAGCTGGCACCAGTTGTTAGTGTGGGTCCTAGTGGCTGGTGCAGGGCCATGTCATTCAGGCCCCCAGTGACCAGCTCCCCAGTGACCAGCTCCACGCTGACCTCCTGTGAGCAGCTCATTGGGGCAGTCCCCTGTTGCTGGCAGGAAACACAGCCTCCGTCCGGGCACCATTTTCACCTCTCCCCACCCCAGAAGATAACTTTGTGCTCCCCAAGTCACAATCAGCCCTGTCACAGGCTTCTACTTCAGGAGAACAAGAGATGACTCTCCAGCCTGCCCTTCTCCTGTGAGCTCTGTCCTGGGTGGGACTGTGATAGGACCCCAGACTCATAGCCTGACAACTCCTGATCCTGTCAAGGTTCACTTTGATCAGTGACCTGTCCCTCAAACCCAGCCCCAAACAGACTGAGGATGAAATGTTGGAATTTTTTAGGGGACTCTCAATGTTGGTCAGTTATAAGCGGCCTGGCATTGGTGACTTCGAATAGGTGATGATGGGCATACATAAGGACAGCTGTCCTGGGCTCTCTTTTACGTCTGAGCACCTAGAGGCTGTAGCTGCTGAGCCCAGCCTTGAACAGCCCATGACATTCGCACAGTTCCTAGTGAGCTTCCCAAAGCATCTGGGCCAAGTGAACCATCTTCTCATTCCTTTCCTCTTGGTTTCTCTGCATGGGGTCTTGAGGCTGGAGCCTCGACACCTGGGAAAGCAACAAAACATGCTCAGTTCGACTGTTTCCAGCTGTGTCTGGAAAGGCAGTTGTCACTAGGCTAAGGTGCCTGGTGACCACAGGGTTCTGAGTTCTGTTTGGCCCGTTGCCAAGGAAGTGAGGTCATATGCTGGTATCTATAACTGAAACTCACCTCTGATAAGACTATCACCCCCTTTATTCAATATTCTGATTTCACTTTTTTACCATAATGCCTCTTGTTATCTTCAAAAGAATTGCCCATATCGTCAGGCACAATATTTGAACAAAACAATACAGAACAAAACCAATAAAAGAAAAACATTGTAGACATTAAAGACTACAAAAGAAGATAATAGTAAACCAGAATAGTAAACTGGAATGCTATCATAGTGTGGAGGATGAAGAGCTACTTTGAGGCTCTGGCCCCCTCGTGACCTGCAATAAACAATAGCGCCCCCCCCCCCCCTATGCAGGACAGAGACGGGATGGGAAGGCCCGACCCCAGTGAGGGAACATGTTCCCCCCTCTGAGCCCATACTGTACTTGGCTTTGTTTGCAGAGTCATGAGGAGGTGGCCGACCTTCAGGTGGCTAGAAAGAACAAACATAATTAAAAGCATTCTTGGGCTAATGGGATTCCTCCTGGGTTAGTGTGACTAGAAGAACTGTTTTTGTTTGTTTAACTTAGAGAGAAACATTGTAGTTGGTCACAAATCTTGTTACAAAGAATGTTTTTCAAGATAATTGCCTGTGCCCTGTGAGTTGACCTGGTTTACTATATAAGAGCCCTGAAATAAAGACTTGGTGTGCAGTTGCAATTGCTGTTTCTCTCTGCTGCTTCTTTTCTTCGCGCTGCACCCCCTGTGTCCTGACTTGGTGTGTGTGTGCCTCTTCCCGGGGTTCAGAGTGCACTAGACACTTGCGACAATCATAGTGCATCTCACTGTCTTCAAAATTGTTTTTTATACTATCAGATGATACCCTCAAACAAAAAAGAATAAAATAAAATTAGAACAGTGAAAACAGAAGAGGCCTTCAAAACAAGCTAATAGAAAATCAAAAATGTTTACCATACTATAACATGCTCTCTCTGGAATAGCTGTCCATGCCATCAAATCTAATACAAGTAGACTAACTGAAGCAGAACAAAACCAAACTAAGCAGAACAATGAAAACACTGTGGTTTTCCAACCATGTTTACATCTCCTGGACCTGCTTGGGCTGGAGTCCAGAGACTGCCTTCTGCTTCTTCCTCTTGTCATGTTCCTGGTTTCCTCTGGACAAATAAATGAGTAGTGGTGTCCCGAGCACTTCCTATTTTGGCTACAGTTTCTCTGAAGGGAGACTGTTTGCTTTTGCTAGCCCGTGCTGCCAGGGTTATCTGATGGAGACCACTGGGTGCACTGATGTAGGCCTAATGTTGGCTGGTGGAGTGAAAGCCCAAGCCGGGCAGGCTGGCGGCGCCTCCCTCCTGAGCTGGTTAACCACAGGGAGCCCTCACCACAGATAGCATGCCCAGTGGGGGAGAGCTAGATTGGGGATAGCTTTAGGGAAACCTCAGTGGTGGTTGTTGGATTGTGCATAGGGGGAACTCACTCCAAGCAATTTCCTCCAGTCTGCTCCATCCTAGGAGTGGCTGAATGATGCCACTGCAGTTCTGGCTCTGGGCTTATCCTGCCCGACTCCAAAATGGCCCATGGACAATCGCTCACCTCTGCAGGAGGACTCGGTGCCCCACACTCAGTGCCAGGCTGTGCAGTTCCTTGGTCTGCTGCTCCCATCTGCCACTGTGCGTTCCTGCAGCAGCCTTCGGGCTTGCCAGCCACCAGCTTCACTGTGACTGTGCATCCCCAAGTTGCAACAATGCTTCTCGCATCGTAATTGCGGCTCCTGGTAAAAATGCTGCCAACTGTCCTCTTTGTGTGTGTGTGTGTGTGTGTGTGTGTGTGTGTTTGTGTGTGTGTTTATTTTCTCTGTGGGCTTCAATTTTCACTTTAGGTTCTTCCTCGGTCCAGGGGACCCACTGCTTTCCTTCTTGTCTTCTTCAGAATGTCTACTCCAGCATCTCGACTGTTTCTTTCAAGAGGGTGTTTATTTTGCTGCTTACTGTTCTGACATCTTCACAAGGTCCCCTTATTTTAAATTTTAAAAAACATTTTCCTCTACTTTGTATATTTTATCTTGATTGGTTTTATAGTGTTTTGTTTTTGTTCTGATTTTGCTCTACCTGATGGAATCAACAACTATTGTGTAGATAATAAGATATACTATGGTAGCTATTTTTGTTTCCTAGTGTCGTGCTTTGAAGTTCTGTACCAGTTTGGCTGCTTTGTTTTGATTGGTTTTGTTCTGTTTTGGTTGGTTGGATTTGACTATCATGAAGATAAAAATTAAGAATAAAAAGTTTTTCTGCATCTATTGAGATGATCGTATGGTTTTTGCCCTTGGCTCTGTTAGTAAGGTGTATAGCATTTATTATGTTTACTGATTTATGTATGTTGAACCATCCCTGCGTCCCTGGGATGAATTCTACTTGGTCAGGGTCTATTGCCTTCTTGATTGGCTGCATTCTGTTTGTCAGGATCTTACTGAGGAGTTTTCCATCTATGTTTATTAGGGAAATTGGCCTGTAGTTCTCTTTTCGGTTAGGTCTTTCTCTGGATTTGGGTTCAGGGTAATATTTGCCTCCAGGATTGAATTTGGGAGTATTTGTTCCTTGTCATTTTCTTTAAAGAATTTCATAAGTAGTGGTGTTGCTTTCTCTAATTTTCTTGTAGAATGTAGCAGTGAATCCATCAGGACCTGGGCTTTTCTTCACTGTCAGGTTCTTAGTTGAGTCTTCAAGTTCATTGATTACTATTGGCTTCTTTAGAAGTTTTATATCTTCTTGACTTGGCTTTGGTAATTCATATGCACCTGGAAATCTATCTATTTCTTGTGAATTTTCCATCTTATTAGAATACAAGTTCTTAAAGTAGGGATAGTTGATCTTGATTTCTTCAGGTTCCATCTCACCCAGTACCAGTAAATGTTTGCCCAAGCCAGAATAGGAATAGGATGGTGAGCTGGTATGCAGAGCATGGTGATGAGACTCATTTGGCACAGGAATCTCTTTTCTTATCCTCCTCATGGTCCGGGTGCCATGGAAACATTATTGAAAGACCAACAAGACAATTCCAATCTCCTGCCTCCAGTGCAACCCATAGGAAGGGTAAGATTAGAAGACATATTTACAGTTTTGGGTAGGGAAGGGGTCCAGTGACAAGTGCAGGTTAGGGGCCATGGAACAAAGGCCTCGACCTGAGCCTCACCCAAAATTTATTATTTCATTAAATAGAGAATGGCTTGAGGATGACTGACAGTGAGAGTGGTGGCTCAGGTGAACTGAGCTAACTAGGAGGCCAGAAAGCACCTCTGCCACATGCACAGAGAAGGGTATGCAAAAAGGCCAATCTGCAGAACACAACTGAGGGAGATCTTAACATTCACAGGCCATGCTTTTCAGTTCTGCTGTGCAAACTGTTTCTGCCTTGGAAAGTCATAGCCTCTTATTTTAAGGCTTAAACCCATCTTAGATTTGCATTTTCTCTGCCATTTCACTGTGCTCAAACTTTGTGAGGGAAACACAGGTGAGGAAACAGGAAACTGTCACTTGGCTCCAGAGATTGCACATCAGTACCTCAGCTAGCCCTATTTACATTGCTTAGAACCAAATGAAAGAAAAGAAAATAGCTTAGTCAGGCCAATGTGGGCCACCCTCATGATCTCTTGTCAGGGACAGCTGCCTGCAGTCAGTCTCCTTCATGATATGATTTCCAGTCCAAGGAACGATTTGGGACATTGCTCTCAGCTGATAAGACACAAAACCCCCAGCCTCCCAAATCACTGGTGGCCAAACAGGGGACCCTTCGGGGTAACTAGGTCATGCCCAGTGACCCCTGGGCTGTCCCTGGGAATAGCTGCCTGTATCCCACCTCCTGAGGTGAAAGTGCATGAGGTTATTTCCAGTGCACAGGGAAGCTTTGAAACATCTCTCAGAGCCTGGATATTTAGGAAAATGACAAAACAAAAGAGCAAAATGCAATCTCAAGCCATCATCCCATTCCAATCAAGCCTAGGAGACATTGACATAGAAGAAAATGTAAACCATACACCTGAAATTCTTGAAATGACAGCAACTGAAGTAAAGAAACAACTCTGGGAAACTAAAACAGAACTCAGATTAGAAATAATCTCCCACGTAACAGAAAAAATGATCAATGCAATGAAAGAAATGCTGAACAAATCTAAGGAAGAGCTAGTTAAAAATTAGGGGAACAATGTACAAAGATGGAAACCTTGAATGAACAATGTAGGAAACAGACAGATTGCATGAGGCAGATTCAAAGAGATATACAGGAAATGAAAAATTCCATGGAAAGTTGGCAAAACCACCTCAATGAAAGTAAAGTTGGACATTCAGACTACAAAGACAAGATTGTAGCTAGTGAACAGGAACAGAAAGATCTTTTGAAAATAACAAGGAATCGGAAAATAGCAAATAAACAGCTACAAGATGATAGAAAGAAGAATAAATACTGATAGGTATAAATGGAAAAGGAAATTATCTTAGCTAGTTCTGTGTATATCAGTACATGGCGATATGACCAGGTGCAGCTAAGGTGGAGATAATTGTTCTTTATTCTATGAGAGCCATTCTAGTGATCAATCCCCTACAGTTTGGGGCTCTTGAAAAAAAAAATTTCACAGGTACATATCGGAAGAATGGTCACTAAGATGGAGAGCAAAGAGACAGCATCATCGAAACAAGAGAGGGAGAATTTTCAGGAATGTCATCAACTTTTATACCAGAGGCATTCCCAGGGAAGCTGAGCAGAAAAAGTATCCACCTGATTCCATACTCACTGTATCACTACTTGAAGCAAAGTATGTTCGGTCTTCTGTTGTGCTGTAAGGAAATTAAACTCGATATCTGAAGGCAAAATTCTACTGAACATTAATTCTCACCCTCCCCAAGAACTATATATACACAAGTAATTCGGAAAATATTTCAGAGTCAAGTATTTATCAGATAGGAAAAAAGGGGTAAAGGAAGCTAAATGGAATCGCTTTACATTGGCGAAGATGTAAGATCTAATTCTCAGAAACTAAAAGAATCCTCCATCGAGTTTTTTTTTCTTCCCGGAGCCAATTATGGGCTGACAAGTTAAGTTGAGCAAAAGTTTTAATAAAAAAAGAAAAGATAGAAATATAGGGGAGAGACTGGCTACCTTGTAGCACCAACAGATTAGGCATTCTCAGTGCCATATACTGACCATTCTCAGTGACAGGCACTGCATTAAGCATTTCACAGTATTAACCTTACGCAACCAGACTGAGGCCAACAGTCCGATCATCCCTCTGGGGTTGGATAAAACAGGGTGAGCCAAACAGCTTATCCAGAGTCCCTCAGAGGAAAATAGCATACCCAGTTACCCAGTGTCCTTGTCAATCGGTCCTGCCAAGAAAGTGGCTCTTTCAGTCACCAGGAGCTGTCAAACTGACCTCAGGAAAAGCCATCTGCATTGTGAGAAGCTCAGGCAGGTGCATGAGATGCCCACCCCTAACAGCATGAAGAGTTCAAGGTTATCCCGGAATAAACTACAAACAGAAACTGTGGATTAATCTCAAATGCATTATGCTAAGTGAAAGAAGAAAAATTAGAAACTGCAATATGATCCCAGTGAAGTACACCAAAGGAAATTCTAAAATAAAGCAAAATTATGTGCTGGCAAGTCAGACCAGAGTTAACCTGGTGTTAAAAATCTGAGACAGTCTA